TACTGTATACACTCTGCTTTGTGAAAGTTGTGTCGTGTTCTGTACATTCACCGCTGAGTGCTGTATGTGTGTCTTTGCATTTCATCAACCATCGTGAAAGAGTTACATTTATTCTCTCCATGGCTCCAGAAAACATCAGAAACCAGTGAGCCTGCCTTATCTGCTCTCGTACGCTGCTTGTGCATCCAGGAAACCTATCTGCTCTCCCAGGCTCTTACAGTGTCATGTCCATATCTTGTATGAGCAGCAATAGATCTGAATGTGTGCAATGCATACTTCAGTATGTACACATTCCTGTGGAAGTGTGGGAAGAGAAGGAGCAACGATCCCTGTAATCTCTCTTAGAGTCAGGACAAATATATGTTTTACTGCCGTATGATTGTGCAGCAGAAATGATTTACATCTATTTCTTTATGATTGGAAGAGTTGGATGAACCCAATAATACAGAGTATATAACATATTTCATAAGGCAGTCCAACGCCTTATATCATTGCAATGTAAGGGGATGAAAATCAGAAAGGATCTTAGCTTAGCTTAGCATAGGGGGCGGCACTAGCTCAGTCTGTAGGGTTTCTGAACAGGAGGGTCTCTGGTTATACCAAAGGTCCAAAATATGGAAGTTGGTCTGGTTGCTGGAGAGGTTTCAAGTCACTTTCCTAGTACTGCCGATGTGCACTTGAGCAAGGCATTGAACGCTCCCTGTGTAGCAACCCCACTCTGACATCTCTCCACTAAAGCATATCCACAGGTCTGTGAGAAGCATGTCGCTCAACAACAGAGTGTAAACCAGAATTCCCCATGGCGATTAATAAAGTATCTCAAATTCTAAAAATCAACTTTTATCAAAACTTAATGCGTACCAACAGTAGGCCTGGTGTGCACCTCTCATTCATCGTCATTGAGTCACAGAGCTGAGCACATATGTTTCTAAAAGATAAAGATCCTTGACATTCTTTTGAAAAATCCTATGAACTCTTCAAAGACACTTTGAACCATCTGGAACCAAACAAAGACGACACATCTCATTCAAACCACACGCTCCATTCTACAGAGGCAAGGAAACACTACAAACATGAACAAACAGTTTGACAATCTTTTTTTGTTGTGCCGATGATTTTATATTCTTTGTGTACAACGGGTTTGAAAAGTTGGAGGATTGTTTAAACCCCCCTTAAGTGTCATAAAATGAGGTTATGGGTTTTTCCAAAAAAGAAATACAGGGATTTATCTTTCATAAAAACGGGATGCTTTGGTCTGCGACTCTGTGTACAGCTAATACATAAAGGCACAAAATGAGGCTGTTCTAATGCAACGGTCTTGAATCAGGAGGCTACTTTATGTAACAGGGTCTTATCTTCAAAATGCATTTAGAAGACGGGGCTGAGGGTACATTGTCTACGCTCTAGGGTCTAAAATGCAAAGAGGTCTGTTGTAAGTGCAAACACAACACCTTAAGTAGTGGTATTGAATTAAACCACTTAAGACACTCAGAAAAGGAAAAAAAGCTCCAAAGTAGGACACTGATGCAAAGAAAAGCTCCATGATGCAGGGTTTCTCTGTCTGCTCGGCTTCTTCTCCATTATTCCCTCATTCTCCGTGTTCACATCCCATCTGCGGAAGAGTGCGACCAAGAGCTCGAGCAGATCTAACACGTCCTGCCGACAGTTTGGACAAGAAGCAAGAGATGTGGGAAATAAAAAGGCGACCCAAACATTAAGCCTCACATGGTGAGCCGGATCTCTTCATGCTCTCACAGAGTGATCCGCACGTCTTTATCAGCGGCCAGCTTGGTGGAGAAAAAAAACCCCACAGCAGCAGCATTAGCGCCACATGAGCTGAATAATTTCTTTTAAAACCGGATTTAAAAGAGATGAATTACTCAGAGAACACATTTTTTATTTAAAGCAACAGCCTCAAGGAGCCTAGTCACAGTGGGAGGGGGAATCACACTGTAAAAAAAAAAAAAAAGAGTGTTAAATTAGGAATTGACTGAGTTATTTCGCTGATATTTAAAGGGAATCATACCAGTGGGTTACATAAGTCTACTTGTGTGAGGTCTAGTTTGATTGGGTAATACATTCAAGGTAAAAAACAGTGTGATTTAAATAAGATAGAAGGATCGAATGTCAAATTTATTGTAAGACATTCAATAACTAACATCTGCTCTAGGTACAAAGAGACGAGAGCACACATCCTTGCATCCTTGCATCCTTGCCCTGGCTGAAAGCCCAGAACAATTCAGCCCCAAGATATATTTCTGACCTTTGAACTCCCCATGTACCGTCACCGGCTTTGAGATCCTACAATGCTGCTCTCTTGGTGATTCCAACTCTAGATTAAAAAACAGAGGTGACAGAGCGTTTTCCACCAGAACCCCCAGACTCTGGAAAAACCTCCCAGAGGAGATTAGGACGGCCAAAGTCGATATCATCATTTAAGTCTCTTCTTCAAACACACTTTTAAAGTCTAGCCTTCCTGTGATCCTCTATTTTATCCTCTCACTTCATCTGTTCTGATTGTTTTTTTATTATGATGTTTCATTCCTAAGTTTTTATTTTTTTACTGTTTATTCTGTAGAATGTTTAATTGATGGCACTTTGATTCCTTATTGATTTGTGATTAACACTTTCATGATTCTGTTTGTTGTTTCATCCTGTGAAGCACTTTGTTAACCTTGTTTTGGAAAGGTTATATTAATAACATTGAATTATTAAAGTGTTAGCCAGATAGCAGTTCACCATCAGAACACATCATGTGTTACAGTAAAAAACAACAGTAACCAGTAATAATGATCCTCTCTTTCTGCTGACTACTTCCCCTGCACGCCTTAAAGCACCAAATGAAGATCCAACACAGCAAACATGAGGGACTGCAGCACTGCACTGTGCTCGTCTTTACATGCTGCTAGGGTCATGTGTGTGTTTGTGTGCACGCTAGCCCGAGGCATTAGCATACAGCACAGTGTGTTCTGATGAAACAGCCAGCGGGAGCACTAAAATGAAATGAATTTCTACAGAATTAATTAGGAGCTATAAAAGTGAGATTTGGTGCTCCCTGATTATTCGCGCTTCCGAGTCAGGCGGAGGCCCCGCTGCGTGCCCCATGTGATTCCTATTTACACATAAGTTAGCGTCCCAACGATAGGCAAGGACGCAAGGAAGGGAGGGAACGATGTTCAGGTCATTAGAGGTCACTTAGGGAGTTCATAACAGATGAAGTTATGAGGAGCAGACGGTCTGTGGAGCCCTGAAACTTTCTCCGGGGTTAAGAAAGGAACAGTTTTTTTTTTAATTATCTTTAATATGAAGTTGATATGATTCATCACTAGACTTCTATTTTGTTCAGTCACATGTATGACTGACAGCTCTGCCACCTGGCTACAGGGTGTCTTTGTCCTGCTCTGCTGCTGTGTATGTGTGTCCTGGTGGAAGGTCACCAGCAGGATGAGCTTACACTTTGCCTTTAAAAAGACCTCTGAGACCTCTAGTTCAGTCTCTCTGACCTGCTGGCTCTGGCTCTGGTATTGTGGCAGGTCTGACTTCCAATGAGTGCTTTCCTCTTCACTCCAGCGCTTATTCTACCCTCACCCAAACACTCATTACGTCGCTCAGTATACTGATAACACATGATCTAAAATAAATCCCTTCTTGTAACGCCGGCTCGTGTCTGTCTCCCTTGTTTGTCACGATCTATGAGCCGGGCTGACACATGTCATTAGCAGACTGAGAAAACAACTTCCTTTAATGATCAAGGTGTGAAGCGTTCACGCTGAGCTCGTGTCTGATACCATCCTCCCTGTGACACAAGTGAGACGACTGCATCACTATCCATCCTAATGAGGATGATGGTGTTACAGCTGAAATCCTCCATGATTACATTACTTATCTATTGTGTTTTTGCTCTTCTGCAAAAGGAGACCGGAGACCTTTCGGAGCATAACAACAACAACCTTTAAAATAAAGAAATGTTCCTCTCTTCTGATACTCATAGAGATTGTTTTGCATTTTACATTATATATTTTGCCGAAAGATTTATCTCCTTGATCAATTCAAGTTGCAGTAGTTTTGTTGAATCCCACACAAACATTTATGAGTCATTTCTCCATCATTATTTCAGCAGTAGATGATGAACCCGCCTCAGCTTCAGACTACCTGGACACTGCATGTTCAAAGACGTGTGGATTGAGCTTATTCCTTTGATACCAAATATGACTAAAAAATTATAATATACTCAATGAAGCATGACTACATATTGAATGTTTGTTTGTGTACATTTCTACAGATATTCTAACGTACAGATTTTCTGGACATCTTATGGTTATGACTAACTCCTTGAATCCTTCCTCTGATTGTGACTCAATCAAAGAATTTGAATTAAATCCATGTGTGTCAGCTCATATACATGGTTACATCGTTGGATTAATTTACTTTAACAATTAATGACACAAAGATTTACTTTGCCTTAAAAACGAGACACCTGTGAGGGCTCAACTGACAGGTTAAGTGAAATGGGAATAAAGCTTAAAGTGGAAATGACACCAAACTGTTCCTCATAATATATAGATGAGGAATCTGTTTTCTGTATTCACTGTATTGCAGTTTATTTCACAGTAACCCAGCAGGCTCAGAGATGATCTGAAACTGAGGACAGAGAGCTCGTCTGCATTGAGCAGCTGGATATGAGATGTAAAGGCAGACAAACACATCTGGAAGATTTCAATTCTATCTACTGTGAGCGAGCGAGTGAGAGAGAGGAGTGAGGACTAAATGATACAAACAGAAACATTGTGTGTGTGTGTGTGTGTGTGTGTGTGTGTGTGGGTGCAGGTGTTTAAGCTGCTTGTAGGTGGATACTGTGATGTTCAATAATGCATCAGGTGCCTCGCCAACACATGTGTGTGTGTGTGTGTGTGTGTGTGTGTGTGTGTGTGTGTGTGTGTGTGTGTGTGTGTGTGTGTGTGTGTGTGTGTGTGTTTGTGTGTGTGTGTGCGCGCACTCACCTGTGGGCGGATGACTCTCTCGATGTTCTTCAGGGCCGTGTCAGGGGAGGGAGGTGAGCAGTCTGGAGTCGGGCCTGTCGAGCAGTTGCCATGGTTACTGTGCTCCCCCTCACTCGCCGCTACATTGGACACGTGACCTTGGAGAGAGAGAGAGAGAGAGAGAGAGAGAGAGAGGAGCAGAGTGAGAAACAGGTAGAGACTGAGGAGGATCTAAATTTCCTTTTTAAGTAGGTGATTTTTAGTTTGTAATGACCATCCCTACTCGCTGGGCATGCTAATGAGCCAGCTGCACGTCAGTGACTTTTCACAAGGTGGTTATTATGTACAGTTCAATAAGTAGACTTCTCATAACACAGCAATAGCTCGCTCAGGTCCGAGGAAGGATCACGTTATGCTAATTCTTTCCACAATGAAATCAAATTAAGGTCTTCTACACTCCTCCTTTCAGCATTTTTTCTTACAGATAGATAAAAAAAAAAGGTGACATGGAAATGTCGTGGAGACGCCTCTGAAGCAGCTGAATAGCAGTTTTATGTTCCGAAATAGGCACAAAAGAGTTCGCTGTAAGGAGCTTGTGCAGCATAACCCCGGTTGTGTAACTTGTGTTCTTTGTACTCGTAGCCTAATTATCCTTTTTTCAAACTTTTCCCACTTGGTCTTTCATGAACGGTAAAAAAGGATCGAGGATAGTGCAGAGCTGCACCTGCAACTAACTTTTATCTTACATTGGCACAAAAATGACAACTTAGTGCAATTTTGGGTGAAGAGAGATGATGTGGTGCACAGAGTGCTTCTATGTGATGGTGCACAATCACAGAGATGTGTTGAGAGAGAGAGAGAGAGAGAGAGAGTGAGAGAGGTGACAGAGGTGTGTTTTGTAAATGGTAAAGCCTCAGGAGCAATCGTAGCAGCAAAATATGACGGCGGCCCACTGCAGTTTGATGACTATCTAACAGACGTACACATCAGAGTGTGTGTGTGTGGCTGACTGCAGAACCGAGTGTCGGAGCTCATTTCCCCTGCGTGTGATCATTTAATTGAGAGGAGGAATGGAAAAAAAAAAAAAAAAATCACCAGAAGAAGAAAGGAAGACGAGAAGAAGGTAAAGAAGCGCTGAAGTAGCTGAATTAAATCTCAGAGGGAGAGAGCATCAGTCTTCATCAATAAGATGAGCATACCTTTCCTAAGATACTGTTGTCAGAGTGGCACGCACAACAGAGGCTTTTGTCAGCTGCCTCCTGCTATCACTGATCCAATCACACAGCAGAATATCATTAAGCCAGAGACGGCAATTTCTGAAGAAATGTGCGCTGTTAAAGCTGCACGCTAAAAAGTCCTAATGCTGAAGAGGTTGAACGATATAAGAGATGTAGAAAATACTGTGTCAAAGCTTGGGCTGCATCTTGAGGAGCTGAGGCTAAACTGAATTCCTGTGTGTAAGGTGTCAAAAAGCAATTCAAGGATGATCAAGAGAGTGAAAAGAGGTGATGAAGAGGAAAGAGGAGGGGTTGTGGTTTTAGGAGCACTCTACACTGTTTGATGACATCACTATAAGTCACATATCGTCTGTGGGGGGGGGATTGTTATTTCAATGTACAAGAAATGAATGAGCTATTAACACGTTTGTAAGTAAAAACAGTAGTTCTTGTTGTTTTAAACTTTGGACGAAGTTGAAGGTGCGAGTTTTCACAACTCCCACAGCTCTTCCTTTGTGTATCGGAGCAGAACGAAGTCTCACTGGAAACAAGAAGGGAGGCTGCTGATGATGTTTTGGATAATGACACAAATAATGAAACACTTTCCTGTATTTTTAATCAGACCCATGCACTCACACAATCAACTTTCCAGGATGCTCTTGGGGGGGGGGGGGGGGGGGGATTTGCATTTGAGAAAGTTTTCTGGCATGCTGAGTCGAGACCAGTGCTTATAAATCACGATCTTCATTTTCCTGAAATGTCTTCTTACTGAGGGGGGATGTCAGCCCGACCAATGATGAGGAAACGACCAAAACGCAGCCCTATTTCTTCTCCCTTGTAGCAGACAGAAGGTGCAGAGGGATGTTTAGCTGGATATGTGAGTCTGCTGACTAGACAGTATTAGACTGAGGTTTGTACAATTAAGAATCTATGACCCCGACCCTGGTTATGAAATATCAGAAAACAGACTCGGTGTGTATTGGTCAATCTAAAGCGCTGTCCGTGGTGCTGATGAAGAAGAAAGATTTGGAATAGAGACTTTTGTATTATTCAGAAATTATAGAATGTGCCAGCTTGGGATTTAAGAATTTTTGACATTCAAGGGGATGTTAGGGTGAAAGATGTGCATGAGCTGTTTTGGTAGTCTGGCCAAATGTTAGAAATATAAAATTCCCTCATCTAATATCCAAATAGTGGAATGTTTTTAAAGGAAGATAACGTTCTTAATTACTTAGTTGTCATGTCCACTGGTTCTAGTGGTTAAGGTTTTTTACAGAAACAGTACCAGTTTGATTAAAAAAATATTTGATCCTCTTCACTTTCTCAGTCAAACTCTCTGACTTTTATTTTACATATTATCATCCACTGAGTTAAAGATGAGGATAGGGACAAAAAGTCTGTGTTAGAAACAATAACCAAGACGTTTTCTTTGTGGAAGACGCAGCCTTGGTTAGTGGGTTCAACAGGATTCATTTTGTAGCTGCAGTCATGCTTAACTGACATGACGCCGTTCCCAACTCTTTAAATCTGCTCGTTTGTTATTATTGGATCATTAGGTCTGAATCACTAAATTAATGACTGCTAATTGAAGAACTCCTCCTTTGTTTGCTAATCCTGACTCCATCATCGCTCATGTCAGCGACTTCACAAACTTTTCAGGAAAGAGGGACTCCAGTGTTTTACACTCAACTGGTTTTCAAGCCTATGAAGTCATGTTTGAATTTTCTGTGGTCTCATTAAAAGCACGATTCTTTTAATGTTTGACTGAAACTTTCTGAAACCCGTGACACTTGTCTTTGATTCACTTCTCTTCAAAGTGCAGGATTTTATTCTAAATGTCGGTCTAGCAGCCTTCGAAGTAAAGTTAGTTTCAAGACGTTTCCTGGGAATTTGTTTGACTTAGTACAAGGACACTGCAGGATGACTCACTTTCTCAATAAAGAGAACGAAAAAGAAGGTACATTTGTGCAGAAAGGTCATATTCTCTTTGTGACAGAAAACATTGAGGCATGTGATCACAACCTGCAGAAAAAAACAAAACAATATAAGAAAACTAGGATGAAAAAGAGAGGACATATGTTTGTCAGTGTAGAGCACATCTAAAAGCATCCTTTTCTTGATGAAGAGTGAGCCCTAAAACACCTGATTAAACTCAATGAAACTATCCTTCTCCTAGTTTCTTTAAATGAATAACTTCAGCTCAGTCATTAAGGTTTGTGTAAAACTCAAAGTTTGTTCTCTTACTTCAGAACGTGTCACCGTCTCTCATCCATATATTTACTTTGAGTTTCTGGTGTCAGACGCAGCGACACACAGAGACAGACAGACACACACACACACACACACACACACACACACACACACACACACACATCAGTCCATAAGGAGAAGAGACGGAGCTTCACAGCATGCTCTCACATCTATCTATACGTGTGACTTCTTCATGTGTTCCTGCAAACACAGACAGAGCTTTTTACTTCATTTCACTGCGACGTCGTGTAAGTACACACACACACACACACACACACACACACACACACACACAAACAAACAGACACGCATCATAAGGAGCCTTTTGGAGCCGAATCAGTGATTAAATGTGGGCGTAAAATAGATAAAATAAATACTGGAAAAATGAGAGACAGGGAGAAGAAAGGAAGGATGCAGCAGAGGGATATATATAGATAGAGACGGAGGTTTGGTCCTATTGAGTAAATAAGCCTGTCAACAGTGAGGCTTTGATGATGGATGTGTGTGTGTGTGTGTGTGTGTGTGTGTGTGTGTGTGTGTGTGTGTGTGTGTGTGTGTGTGTGTGTGTGTGTGTGTGTGTGACTCCGCTTCCTTTAGATCTGCTTCAGGCTCACTCCTGGGATTCTCTCTGTTACTAAAGGGAATATGTGTTTGTGTGAGTGTGTTTGTATAAAGGTGAGAGAATGGATTTAATAACTGTGTGGTGGTATATATAAATGTTTACATCCATACATTCAGGTTCATGTGTGTGTGTGTGTGTGTGTGTGTGTGTGTGTGTGTGTGTGTGTGTGTGTGTGTGTGTGTGTGTGTGTGTGTGTGTGAGAGATGATAATAAATAGCCTATGGGAAAATGTGAAATGCTCTAACGGGTTTCACAGGATTCAGATATTCCTCGCATGCCAAGCACACACAGAATAATGTGTGTGTGTGTGTGTGTGTGTGTGTGTGTGTGTGTGTGTGTGTGTGTGTGTGTGTGTGTGTGTGTGTGTGTGTGTGTGTGTGTGTGTGTGTGTGTGTGTGTGTGTGTGTGTGTGTGTGTGTGTGTGTGTGCTACAAAGTCTGACAGAGCCTGGATTGACACAAAAGTATCTCTGTGAGCATCAAGGCTAGCTGCACACTTTGTTAATGCAGCAGTGTGTAAGTTAGTGAGCGTGAGGGATTGGTTCTGTCCTCTTCCTGCCTAACAAGACGAAAACTGTCAGACTCCGACGAGATCTCCTGACTGTCGGTTCTGCTTCTCTGCAACTCTGACAAGTGTTTCATACAGTACGCGCACAGAACCTCTCTCTGTGTGCAACTCCTTTCACATGTTCTCCTACATGTCAGAGAAGCAAATGAGAGCGTAGCTCCGAGCACAATGTCTCAAACTGATCCAACACTGAACAACTACAGAAAGAAACATGTAACAAGGACATACGTTTAATTACAAGAACTAAAAACTACATTTACATACATACATTTAAACTAATCCAAGATTTCTATAAACATGCATTGCCTCTACTTACTCTAAGTGCTGATTGTGAATCCAAATCCTGATTAATAAATATCATCAGGGCTGGGACTCTAATGTCATCCAGCATCAATCCCAGTTATTCACTCTTCATCACTGCTTCACCGGTTTGTTCATCACCACAAAGAAGGGGCGCAGGGTTAAATAAATACTTCATACTGTGTAATATCAAGATGCTGCT